TGTAGCCAAGAATTGTTGTTTCAAAGCAATTTAGCACAGTCCTCCTCATTTTGCAATGAAAACTTCTAATCGTGGACCACTAACATAAATTTCACGGAAGGAACATCTAAGAAGTTACCAAGTAAAGTTTATTACCTTAAGAACTATGATGAAGACAGTTATGGGAACTAAGGGGTGGATTCAATTCTCACGCTTCTGTTTCCACTCTATATAGTAATTGCTTCAGTAGATGTCTGTCCCCTGAACTGTCTGTACACTGAACTGTAGGCTTTCTTGAAGGCAGAAACTGTTTTATTACTTCTACATCCCAGTGCCTCCTTCAATTGCTGCCACTAAGAAAGCTACGTGTTTACTGTACAGATGACTGAAATTGATGGTTCCAAAGTCAATGGTAATGGCAGGGCCAGAACTGCAATCAAGGCCTATCTCTAGAAAATGTATTATGAGCCACTCATTCATTTAACATTTATTGAATACCTGCTGGGGACCATCAGACACTAGGCAAAGCACTGAGGATAAATAATAAGACCCACTCTTATTGTAGAAGACCTAATCAGCTAGTAGGGGAGATAAATATGGAAGCACACTGTTGTAACATATTTTGATTAAAACTATTAAGTTCTGAGCTATAAGCCACGGGCATAGGAGGGAAGTGATGAGGAAGCAGGAGTGTTAGGGAACACAGGTTAGATGTGTTATTCCCCATTTCTACATAGTAACTAATAAGACACTAGTATTGGTTTTTTTTCGGGGGGGGGGTCCAGTCATGGGGCCTCAACTCTGGGCCTGGGCGCTGTCCCTCAGCTCTTCAGCTCAAGGCTAGTGCTCTACCACTTGAGCCACAGCGCCACTTCCAGCTTTTTTTCTTTTTGCTTATGTGGTGCTGGGGAATCAAATCCAGGGCCTCATACATGCAAGGCAAGCGCTCTACCACTGAGCCACCTTCCCAGACTGAAACTAGTATTGTTGAACAATTGTTTCAGCTAAAATGCAGGAGTCATAAGAGATCATAAGGGGTGACAAGACAGAGGCAGTCATATGATGTAACCAATACATTAGTCATAAAGCAGCAAATGACTAAACAAAGGATGTTAACCTAGGGAAAGAATAATTATTGTAGTCACTGGCAAGTGGTTGATGTCAACATATTATCATATACATATCAAAGTTGTAAGAAAAAATAGAACATAGGCAAATTAAATTAAGCCAGATGAAAAAGAGTGTATATTCACAATGCACATAATAACATTGTAAGTAACTCAAATCTGTCATTTAGAATTTGTAGGTTAAATTGGTTCAACAGGAGCCTGAGAAACAATGGCAGATATCACACTGTTGTGGTGTTTTCTCCAAGTGAAAGAGAGGCACTTTGATGAGCTATGAGACAAATTCAGAATTGCGCTGACCCACCTCAGACTCATGAAGGCTGTCACTGTGTCACCAGTACTCTCTTCCCATGTGTCCATTTTCCTCTCACATTTACCCAATAAGTAAGTTTCTATTGGATTTCCTGTATCAAAAAAGCTGTGTGCGCTGGAGAAAAACCATGTCAAGAAGCCTAGTGCCCTAACAAATTCCTGACTTTTGTATCTCAATGTGGTTATCTTTTATTTGTCCTAACTCATCTTTCATTACCATGAAATAAAAAATCCTCAATCTCTCTCTTAGAAGAGGATGCCCTCAACCCTCCTCCCTCATTAGAGATAAACTTGCCTGTACTTCAATGGGAAACTGCCCCAGTCTCCCCTACCCTTTTCTGATAAACTCATTTGTATTCCTCTCCATCTCCATCTTCTACCTGGAATCCTAGAGGATGAAGTGTTTTTCCTGTTTCCAGTACTTTCTCATTTGTGTTGATGAGCTCTTTGTGCTCTCTACCTACCATCTCTCGGCCCAGCTTTTATGCTTATAGGCAACCTCTATTAGTCCTAATTTCTTGACATTATGACTTCTCCTATCTGATCTTCCTCCTTCTTGGACATTGCTTCCCTTGAGCTGTGTCCTACACTGTCAAACCATCGTCAGGATTAATCAGCAATGGTAAACTTTATGTTTCATCTCACCCCTCAACTCACTGTAATATCTGTCCATACTCTTATAGTAAAACACTTTCTGGGGACAGTTAGTTAAAAATGTTGAACCTGGGCTGAAGGTGGCTCAGTGGTAGATTGCTTGCTTTGCATGCTTGAGGCCCTGGGTTCAATTCCTCAGCATCACATAAACAGAAAAAGCCGGAAGTGGCACTGTGGCTCAAGTGGTAGAGTGCTAGCTTTGAGCTGAGCTGAGGGACAACACCTAGGCCCAGAGTTCAGGTCCCACTTCTGACAAAAAAAAAAAAATGTTGATCCTGGATTTAAGCAGATCTGTATTTTACTTCTGTCTCCTCCACAAAAACTTCCAGCATGCAATTAATTTTCCTGTGAATCAGTTTCTTCATCTCTAAAATAAGTATAGTAATTGTAAATAATTTTATAGTATTCTTATAGCATTATTGTAGTCACTGGCAAGTGCTAAGTACTAAGTGTATTGTGACTCAAGTGATAGAGTATCTACTTAGCAAACAAACAAAGAAAGCCTTGATCTCAAGCCCCAATAATGATGATAAAAATACATACAATATATAGAAATATATGATCATATGTTTGTATAAATTGTATATTTATAGTAATAAATTCATTGCAAAAAATTGAAAAAAACAGCAATGTCTTCATGTGCCATCATGATTGATAAATATTAACTATTATTATTGTTACTAGTAGAGGTATTTGCACTTCAATGACAATTACCATTGTTAGGTACAATGCTGAGTCTAGCTAAAATTCTAAATGAAAACAAATCTTATTAAAAATAAAGAAAAGGACTTTGAAATCTCTCTATATCATACACCTGATCTTTTGGTCTAGGATCATCTTCAAACCAGTCAGGAACCAAATTGTCCAACAAGGTCTCATACTGTTGACAAAAAAGGCTTCACAAAGCTGGCACTTTTATTTGTCTAACAATTTCGTTTGGAGGGTCAAGGTCATCAATGCCCATGTCCCATTCTAGCACTGTTAGGTTAGTCTTCCTCTCAGGACAAAGCATAGGTTCAAGTGGAAGCACCTCTGCTGGATGGGTGCGGTCATACACCACTGGCATTTTATGTTGGGATCCCATAGATTTAACAATAATTTACATTACAGACAAAGATAATGACTTGATTTTTCTTCTACTTTAAACACTTTTCAAACCAAACTTGGAAAGTAAAAATCTGACTAAAATTATTTAACCAGGAGATGAAGTTGGTCCTCACATCTACCACTGATGGGAGAGAAAACAGGAGCAAAATTTCTTGAGGGCTATCATGTGTCAAGATGTACCTACAAAGTAAAAATTGGGCAAAGAACAGAACAGACATTTCTAAGGAAGACATACAAATGTCTAATAAATACATGGAAAAAATGCTCAACATCATTAGTTGTTAAAGAAATACAAGTCAAAATCACAATAAGATACCATTTCATACCCATCAGGAGAGCTACTGTGAAAGAAAGGCAAGCATTGGAGAAATTGGAATGATTGTGCATTACTGTTAGGAGGATAAATTTGCACAGCTTTTGGGGGAATAAAGTTGGGGAAATCCTCAAAAGTTTAAAAACAGAATTACATGATCTGGTAATTCTACGTCAAGAACACCCAAAAAATTGAGAACCAGGACTCAAGTAGATACTTATACATCTGTGTTTATAGCAACATTATTTACAATAGCCAAAAGGTAAAAAAATTCAATTGTCTATTAACTGATGAGTGGATTAATGTAGAAAACAGATATAATGTGATTTTATTCAGAGTTAAAAAGGACAAAATACTTATATATGTTACAACATGGGTAAGTTTGAAAGCACTGTGCTAAATGAAATAAGTCAGGCATAAAAGGGTATTTATTTATAAGCAGTTTACCTGAGGCAAGAATAGGCAAATTCAAAGAGACAAAAGGTAGAACAGGGGTTTACCAGGAGCTGGGGATGGAAAGTAGTAATCTAATGAGTACAAAGTTTCTGTTTGGGATGTTGAGAAAGTTTTAGAGATAAATGACAGTAACAATTATGTAACATTGTGAATGGACTTGTGTAAAATTTCTAAATATACTGAACTGTACATTTTCAAGGTTAGAACTATAAATTTGTATTAGCTACATTTTACTATATAAAGTAAATATAATAATGCAGTATTTATAATAAATTAAATTTAACTAAATATACATTGTATATATCTATTCACACAATAAGCATGTGGCTATGTAAATATCACCAGATACAAAAAAGTCATAATAGAGACTCTTACATAAGTAATAAATACAACAAAGCAGACTTCATTGAGCAAGATCATTGCTCAATGAACAAAGTAAGGTACAAATGCAGGTAAAGAGGGGGGAGGTCAAAGGGAACAGAGTGCAGACAAATAGGGAGAAGAAGGATGAGTGAAGATAATCATAATGTCCATGTATATATGTGAAAATGAAGACAGGTAACTTGAAAGGATGGGTAGGATTAGGAGAGATGGGGAAACATGAGGAAAAGGGATGAGACTGGTAAGAGATGCATTGTAGTCATTATGCATGTTAAATTGAAACCCCTTTGTACAGCACTTAAAGATAATTTTTAAAGTTTTTTTCTAAAGAGTGCAGGTAAAGCAAAAAATTTAAAAATTCCAAGGCCTGTCTACATACGGAGAAAATTCTAGATATTCTCCAAATGTTAACTAAGTTTGTCCTCTGAATGACAAATTTGAGGTGATCTCAAGATGACCTTCTCTACAATTTTCTGTATTTGTTGAAATTTTACAAAGAATATTTTAACCAAAGTAATATATTATTATGAGTTCTGATTTATCACAGTTTCACATTAATTTGGGGGGGTCTTCTGTATTTGTAATTAGATGTTTTCTATCTTTTCATCTCCACAGCAAAAAAATAACACCTGTGAATGAATCTAATACAGTTTTAAAAGAGAGCTACATACCTCAGTTAGTGGTGTTTTCTCTCCATCACTCACAAATAGAGACACAATTTCAGAGCAACATTCAATAATCATGTTCTACAAGTAATAAGAAGCAAATGCATGAGGTTGGTATTATTGGCTCAATATTACATATTTCACTATAAATTATTTTGTCTAATGTTTGCATAAATTAACCTTAATCCCAGGATGTGATAAACAAGATCAGAAAGCAAAATGTGCTTTCTTTCCTTTTTCTTCCTTCATTTCCTTCTCTTTCCCTCCTTCCTTCTTTCCTTCCTTCATTCCTTCTTGCCTTTCTTCCTTCCTTCCTTTCTTCCTCCTTTTCTTTCTTTCTCTATTCCATTCTCTCTTTCATTTCTTTTCATTTTATGTTTTTTCACAGTATTGAGGTTTGAACTCGTGCCCTCCAGCTTCCTTGGCTTGTTCATTGAGCCAATGCTCTACCACTTGAGCTACAACTCAATTCTGCTTTCTGCTAGTTAATCAGTGATAGTCTTACCAATTGTTCTTTATAGGCTCTTTTTTTCAAATCTCAATCCTCCAGATTTCAACCTTCCATGTAGTTAAGGTCATAGACATGAGCCACTGGTGCCCAGATAGAAATCACAATTTGAAGAAAAACAGGTTGATGTACAACTAAATTAAATGCCAAGTCAACTGTGATCTAAACATAAATAGTTATGACATGTCATTGAATCCTAGAGGTGGGAGAGTAATTCTTGGTATGATGATTAAGAAAGACTTCCTAGAAGGCTCAAATGACCTGAGTTTTAAAAGAGTACTAGGATTTCAACTGATGGAAAATGGAGCATCCTTTGGAAAGTATGGCAATGAGAATGGTAACAATTGGCTCACGAAGTAAATGTATGACATGTCACATGAAAGTAAGGAATTTGGATTTTATTGTATAAGAAGTTGAGAGGAAGTGGAATGGGGGGAGGTAATAGTAAAGACTGTCTTTAAAAATGTATTTCTGACCACAGTTTCAAGGTAAAGTGGTTTGGCAAGAGATAAGAGGATAAGTCATCAGCCAAGAGTCCCTCAAATCATTTGGGCAAGAAATGACTTTATAGAAGTAGACAGAAGTATGCCAACTTCATGGGAGTAAAAAGGAGGGAGGTAAGAGGCCCAGCATTGATCATGTAATGCGCCATCCAGGTTTCTAGACCACTTTACTGGGTAGAAGAGAACCCATGTCCACTCATATACTTGTCTGCCTTACCTATATTTTATCTCTCTCAGTTCTTAGGACTGGTTAAACTATGTTTTTTTTCTCTATAAATGAGGTTTCAATAACATCTACGGTGGGTTATTCTCATGATTTCATCAGAAGCTATCAAACAAAATGACAGTTTATATCATTAATCATTTCACATAACAGATGAAGACAGCAATGTTACTTGATAAATGTCTTCCACTGTCGGTCTCAACATTTATCACACAGAACTTTACCTCAGCAATGCCTTATTGCTCTGGCATTATTTGAGGTAAACCTGTGAAACCTGCTGATTCAAGGTGAGGGCTGGGAGTGAGACCTGGCTACTGCAGAAAAGAAGACAGACAAGGCACAGAGCTCATCAATCCTACTCAGAAAGTAGTTGGAGGCATGCTATAATTGGTAAGGGACAGAGTGTAGAATGACCATTGTTCAGATTTTTTTGCTACTTTCCTCTTAAAAGAAACACCTATTGATTCTATGAAGGATGTTCCTCTGAGTTCAAGATAAGGCCAATTCTTGTATTTATGTTAAAATTCTTGACAATTTTTCACCTATAACACAGAAAAAAAATGCTAGCTGTTTTCTAGCCTTCAAACTCCTGCATCCTTCAGTTCTCTGTCACCTACCACTGAAGCAGGATAAACAGATGAGGAAAGAGGGAAATTACATCATTTTAAACCAATATCAAAAAAGCCAGATTCAGAAGTCAAAGCCACAAAGTAGACTGAAAAATCAGATAAGCTCCATCCAATTATACCTCCAATGTACAAGGTTGGGAGACAAAGGAGAGGCTATTTAAATCTGCTTCCTTTGAAATGGTAAAAAGCTGAGAACTCTTGATAGGTCAGATAAGACAGAAAGAATGAATGGCCTGTCTGGCAAAATGAAGTCCTGAAAAGTCAGCTGGGTTTTGGGTAAGCCTCACCCAACTTACCCACACAAAATCTTTGTCTTAGCACTAGACAGTGATTGCTAGACTGACTTGATTATGTTTATTCTGTCTGCTAGAAAAGGATAAAAGCTACAGATAAGAACTACCATTTAGTCTTTAACTCCTATTTTTTACATGAGTGGGCAATGTTTCTTTTTTCTCTCTTCTTTAACTGTTATACTAAAATAAATCCTTGCTAAAACTTTTCCCTTCTAAAACTCATTTTTTGTGAGACACCCTGAAATATGTTTCATGAGGGGATCTCAAGGACTTGTGTTTTTGTGTGGAAATTGGGAAGCTGAAGGAACTCTTCACTTATTCTCCAATGACAAGAGGACAAGGAGAGACAGACTCCTCCAACACTATACAAGGAGATGTGAGAGGAAAAAAAACTCTTAATTCTAACCAGAGGCAGAAAAGATAGATGTGGAAACAGAGAGATTATATTATTACCAAATAGTAAAAACTTCAGACTTAAAAATCACAATGAGAAAGTAAACAAACAAACAAACAAAAACGAATTAAATTCTTCTCTCACCACCCTTACAATATGTTAAGTTACAAAAGCAGAAGATAAAGGGAAGTTACCTAAATCTTCTGGGAGATATTAAATGGAAGGGTTGTGAAAGGAGACCTCTATGTGGTTTAGGCAGGAGAGAGTTTATTAGGAGAACCAAACCTCCAGCCAGCACCAGATGGAGGTGTGCAGAAAGAGAATTTATGGCAGAGAGAGATTATATAGGGAGGGCAAGAAGGAGGTATGGCTGCAGCAGATGTGGAAGAGACCTCAGAGCTTGGGGAACCTCTCACTGTCTGGAGGAGGCGTAAACAGGGTGGATGAGGAAGTAACCTCAGAGGAGGAGGAAGTGACCTCAGAGCCTGGGGTCCTTTGCTGCCTCACAGTCAGGTGACTGACAGTTACAGGAGAATACTGGTTTCCAGCAGATGCTTTCTAGTAAGGCTACTTGCTGTCCTACACGTCGTCGGTGTTTTCTCCTGGGCAGACCTAACATTAAGAAAAAGTCACAAACAGTTTATAACAATGCTGGGCCCTGCTGCCTGCCTGTAATCCTACCTATTCAAAAGGCTAAGATTTGAGAATTGGGATTCAAAGTCAGCCCCTGCAGGAAAGTTTATGAGACCCTATCTCCAATTAACTATCAAAAAACTAGAAATGGAGCTATGGCTCAAATAGTAGAGCATTTTTTTGCTCCTTGAGCAAAAAACTCAAGAACAGCACCCAGACTGAGTTCAAGCCCTGGACTGGCACCAGAAAAAAAAATTTAAAAAGAGAAAAGCCAAACTAAGAGAGATAAATATTGCATATTTTCAACTCATATGTGGAATCCAGACCTTTAAAAAATGATAAGGCATTACTTATAAAAGGGAGATTGTTGAAGGGTGAGGGGTGCTAAACAATAGGAGGCAGAAGGAAACATAAGAATAGAAGTGAGGTTGACAGGGGAGGTGAATATACTCAATATTACATTATATATACATATGAAAATACCATCAAGAAACCCACCAGAAATACAGCAAGGAGGGAGGAGGAAGGAGTTAATAAAGAGTAACAGGTGGGGTGCACTTAACCAAAACACACTAGATATGTGTATATAATATTACAGTTAATTCATGACAATAAGTTTTCTTAAAGTTCAAAAACAAAGGAAGAGGAAAAAGAAATACCAATTACTAAGAAAGCACAGTGAAGGCATAGGATATTGGGGGAATAAGGAAAAATAGCCTTTACTCTGTGGATGTTATAAAATTCTGCATTTACTTTAGTACAAAGTCTAGCTCAGCTTTCTCTCAGCTTACACACAAACATATGCCCATGCACACACTTGCCATATAAATTGAATTTTTAATATAATTTTTTGTTAGCAATCCTGCTATTTAAGAAAGCAGGATTCCATCTTACACTTCAGTATAGTATAAAATCTAGATAATGCGGAAACAGGAAAACTGGAAGTTAGAGACACAGCACTGAACTATACAAGGAAGAGCTGAGTAATGGCAGGAAGGAGAGGACAAACAATATTAGAGGGTCAGTTTTAGGAGTGTGCACCAAATGAGACAGATGAAGGACTGCTGTGGATGCCAGAGGATGTAAGAGCAAGAGTATAGTTAACTATGTTCCCCAAAGCTTCATGGGATTGTAGATTTAGTCCCATTGTCAATATTAGGAGATGTGTAGACTTTTAAGAGTAGGACTTTGTGGAAGGTCCTTAAATATGTTTGAGGACAATGGTGGAGAATCACATCTCACTCAGTAGGTAGTTCAGTTGTACACCTAGTATCCTCTAGAGAGGATTGTTAGAGAAGGATCAAACTAGCCCCATCCAGCTTTCTCTACTTTGGAGTTCAAAATGTGATCCTCTTCAGATCACAGGCCTCCATCTGCCACCCACCAGGGTTTCAAAGCCTACATATTTGAATGTCACATGTTCAAAACATAGCTATATAAATAGCTATATCAGGTATTGTATAACAGTTTCAAAAATCAAATTTAAATGTAAAAAAAACATTGAAAGGAATGTTTGTTATGCCAAGTTCAGTGATGCATGTCTATAATCACAATTACTCAGTAGACTGGGGCAGGAAGATGGGGATGTTACTCAGTGTTACGCACTTGCTTAGCATGTGCAAAGGCTCACTACATTTGCCTGCTAGATGTCCTTACTTGTGACCCACTGCTTTTTTACTCACTCTACTGATAATGCCAACAAATATGCCCTGAAAAATCAAGAAAGTTTCCAGCTTTCCATTTTCACATCATAAAAGTATATAGATAAATAAGCAAGAAAACCAAGAGCTACATGAATAATATCATTTCAGAATTAAAAACGTTTTGTCATTGGTAACCAATGAAATACTAATGTAGCCAACAACAACTTTGAAAAGATCAGAGAAGTGTTGCCATGGTGCAAAGTGGTAAGAGTGCTAGCCTTAAGAAAAGAGTTCAGAGACCGAGCCAGGGACCCAACCAAGTTCAAGCCCTATAACCAACAATACTATTGGATGAAAACTAAAGAGAAGATCCTCAAAGCTTTCAGACAAGAAAAGCAGGAATGTGCCCCAACTTTCTGGGAACTCAACCAGAAAGCAGCAAAGGCATCGGAGGCATGAGCTGAGGCACTTAGAACATTCAGGTTTCAAGTGGAATGGAAAAGTTTAGAAGAAAAATAGAATTGAGACATTATATGATCTATATAAACCCTTGAATTTTTAAAAAAATCTATCAATGAAGATTCTGACATGAAGAGTCTGACATAATGAATGTGGGAAAGTTAAGGGTAAAAGATAAGTCAAGAAAAAATCAAACAATGATACAAAGACACATATGTAATCCAGCTACTTGGGATGTGTAGGTAGGAAGATCATGGCTAGAGTATGGCTCAAGTGGTGGTCCACTTGCTTAGCAAACACAAGACAATCTCCAGTACCACAAAGACAAAAAATAAAATGAAGGAGAGTAAACAGCGTATCACCTGACATACAGCCATGAACACCATGTACTAGATGTTAATATAACCAGTTCCAGGTGTCAATGTAAAAACTAAGGATTACTTTAACTAAATGTTCTGATACTGCACCACTTAAGAGGGTACCAGACAAGACAAGTTGGGGGAAAGTACTAAGTTAGCACATTCAATATCTATTCTCTGAGGAGAAGACCAAGAGCAGACTGTCAGTGGACCCGCTCAACAATGGTGTTGGCCCAAACTAGCTCGGTTGGAATTTATTCATTACTTCACTTTTCATGAGTAAATACTGGGTATTATTTATAGGTGTTGAAGTAACCATGGGAACAGCTATAAGAATTGAAAGTGGTCACCTCTGACTGTGGAGTGAGGACAAGCTGAGCTACAATCCTTTTTCTTTCAGACCTTTTAGATCTCATTTTTTTCTTAAACTTGCACAATAACTACAGCAGAAGTGTTTGTGTATGCGTATGTGTGTGTGTGTGTGTGTGTGTGTGTGTGTGTGTGTGTGTGTGTGTATTCTTATCTCTACCATGGAGAGTAGGGAATTTCTATTCCATTCCCAAAGAAGGAAGGCTGCTTTTGGACCCATCACTAACTTTTTCCAAAAAGAGAGGACTGACTTACCTCATGGATGAGCATGAAAAACACAACTGATCATACTAGCTCAGCCCCTTATAATCCATCTCTGTTTATAAATTTGGGAGGCATCTTACCCACAGGACTATTATTCTCTGTTTCCCAGGAGCAGTAAGCTTGTCAGGAGGCACAAGGGGCCAAAGTAGCCCTGTGGTTGCAAGTATGTACTAGGAAATTGTGTGCCTAGGTGGACAATCTGGCCAACTCAGTAGTAAAATGTTAATGAACTCATTTGGCTACAAATCTAAAGCCATATTTGCTAATCAGCTTTATCAGTGATGATGCTGATAGGTCCATCCCCATCTCTTTGTCTCTTGTGCTGTTTCTCAGTAGATTATAACCCTAGAGAGGTAGAGGGAAATGATGTTGTCTACCAAAACACAGATACCAGTGGGCACAAAGCCACTCAGCCTTATGATTGCGTTAATAGCATACTCTTTTATTCACACACTTTGGTAATAAAAGTATTTAAATATTATAGAGAAAAAGTAAAAGTAATTTTATAAAGTTACAAGGCACTGTCTCTTGGAATTCAGTCATATCTGTGCATATCTTTGGAACAGTTCTTTCTCATCTGCTGTCAGAGTGCTGCAGTTAGGGCACTTTTCAGGAGTTCTGAAGCAAGCACACCACCATGTGTCAAAAAGTTGGCTCATGGCTGGCATGATAAGCAAAGAAGATAAGAGGACAGAAAAATCACCAAGTTCAAGTTTACATGATTTTGCATCAATAAAGAGAAAAAATAATTTTAATAATTATGTGAACTAGCATCAACTTGCAATAGCAATGCCATTTTCCATTATGTAATGAATACTTACTTCCATATCTGTGTCAACAGGCTTCTCTTCTACTTCTGGTGACTCAGATATATTTCCCTTTGAAGTACTTTCAGGAACAGATGGCAATGATATTTCAGCAATTTGTGCAAGATCAGATAGTTTCTCATGAATTGAAATGACTCTGAAATGTCAAATATATATAAATTTTATTTGAGAAGTTAGGAAAGATATTGATTTAGTTTTAGAGCCAAAAGTATATACAGTATGCCTTCCCTTCATTCAGTTAGGCTTCTGACATCCCCAAACATCACCCATTCTATCATCCCTTCCTTTAAGAGCCATGAGCAAAGAGAAATAGTCCTACTCTTATCATGTGTATGGTCTACTTAGACACCCAAGCGGATATACATTACAAGCTGTCAAGGGCCAATCTCATCCAGATTACTGAGAGTGAAATAAAATCAGTACCTAGACAGCAAGGAAATTCTGGGCAATAAACAAAAGATTTTCTCTTGCCTTAATGGCATGCTGTGATTGTGTAGCTGACCTGATGCAAGAGGGTAGCAAGTTAGCAAAGCCTTGAAGAAGCCAGTCAATGACCCTACAACACTTCAGAGTGCTGTGTGCATGTATGGGAGGGTAGACACAAGGAGGTAGGAATGGAAATCAGAAAAGAGGCACAAATAAGAGTGAAAGGATACAGAAGACACAGTGTTAGTGATGCTAAAGATAGAAACTCCAGAGGCCCAGGCCACTGGACAGTGGATGTGGAGGGGAGGGCAGGACCAGCATAGTGGAAGCAGTAGGCTCCAACTGAAAGAGAAACAGCTACTTCACACTCTCAATGTATACACATTTGTGTGACGGATTCTATCCAAGGAAGGAGGAGGAAAAACATCGGGAGTATTGAATAAACAGCTTTACTTGTCCATGGCATCACACCCACAGCATGGCATCATACTGGACGCTCTTGGCAACAAAAAGTGAAAACATAGGAAGATCTTTATTTTATAAGAAGCTTATAATTTACATAGTATAAGCTAGAAACTTCTATTAAGAGGGCAACATGCCGGGCACAGGTAGCTCACTATAATCCTAGCTACTCAGGGGGCTCAGATCTGAGGATCCTGGTTCAAAGCCAGCCCGGGCAGGAAAGGCCTGGAGACTCTTATCTCCAATAAACCACTCGAAAACTGGAAGTGGCGCTGTGGCTCAAGCGGTAGAGCACTAGCTTTGAGCTGAAGAGTGCAGGGACAGCGCCCAGGCTGAGTTCAAGCCCCATAACCGGCAAAAAAAAAAAAAGACAGCAACATGTCGGGCACTGGTGGCTCATGCCTAAAATCCTAGCTCCTTAGGAGGCTGAAAGCTGAGAATCGTGGTTCAAAGCCAGCCTGGGCAGAAAAGTCTGTCAGACTCTTATCTCCAATAAACCACTCAAAACCTGAAGTGGCACTGTGGCTCAGGTAGTAGAGTGCTAGCTTTGAGCTGAAGAGCTAAGGGACAGTGCCCAGGCCCAGAGTTCAAACCCCAAAACCGACACACACAAAAAAAGAGGGCAATTTAAACCAATAGACTTCTTGTTACAAGTTAGTTTGGGAAAACTTGTCCTTGGAATGGGGGAGGTCATATCCAATAATGCTGCAGAAATTACTGGGAAAGGAACAGCATTAGGATTTAGAGGACCTGGTGAGTCTTACCGGAGTCTACCTGCCTTTAGACTTCCAGACCCTCAGATTTCTAATTCTGCATGGCTAGAAGAACAAACACCACTTCATCTAACTCACAGAGCTTTATAAGAAAGAAATATCTATATAACTATATAATTTCTTAACCATTAAAAAATTACACATTGGGGGCTAGGAACATGGCTCAGTGGTAGATTGCTGCCTTGCATGCATGAGGCCCTGGGTTCGATTCCTCAGCACCACATAAGCAGAAAAAGCCAGAAGTGACGCTGTGGCTCAAGTGGTAGAGCACTAGCCTTGATGTGAAGAGCTGAGGGACAGCACACCCAAGCCCAGCATTCAGGCACCACCAACAACAACAAATTACACATTGGTTCACCCTTTGTTCTTTGTTTCACCTTCCCTTCCCCAAATCAGATAAACATGTATACAAGATACAGGGTACCAAAATCAAATACAGTGACAAAAGGGGATAAACCAAAGGAAAAAAAGAAAAGAAAAAAGAAATAACTTCACACAGTACATTAAAAACAACAACAAAGAAAACCCTCTTGTTTTCATCTCTTGGAGTTCATTTCGATATAGTCCTAAGTACATAGCTATTGAGCTATTGTGATCCTCTGCTAGGACTATCCTAGACATATACTAGTTATTACAAATGAGGGAAGCCATGGAGCCTAGGTTTTTTTGGGTTGAGGTTACTTCACTTAATATGACTTTTTTCCAAGTCTTTCTGTTTCCTTACAAATGGGGTGCACCAATGCAACAGTGATACTCTCAGACACTATGTTGGAAATAAACTTTACAATTTGGGGGAGGGGGAGCAGGGAGAGGGAAAGTGGGAGAAAATCAAGGGACAAGAATTGTACTCATTACCTTATGTATGTCACTGTAACCCCTCTGTACATCACCTTGGCAATAAAAATAAACTTAAAAAGTACAAAAAGGAAGCTAATAATCTAAAATGTCATCTGTACTCTAATATCTAAAAAGAGAATTTTTATTTCTTTTTAAAAGTAGCATAGGATACCAGCACAACCATGTTCATTGCAGCATTATTTGCCAGAGCTAAGACGTGGAATAACCTAGATGCCCCTCAGTAGATGAATGGATCAAGATGTAGACAATGGAGTTCTATGCTTCAATCAGAAAGAATGACATTGTCCCATTGATAAGAAAATGGAAAGGCCTGGAAAAATTATATTAATCGAAGTAAGCCAGGTCCAAAGAAAAATATGTTGCATGGTTTCCCTTATTTGTAATAACTAGAATATGTCTGATATTCTTAACAGGGGTTCTCAATAGCCAATTGCTAAGTGCATAGGACCATATGTAATGAAGTGTATCAACATGAACTCCAAGAATTGAAAACAAGAGTTTCTTATTAGGTCCTGTAGTTATTTCTTTTTTTGTTGTTTTAGTTTTTTGTATCCTTTGTCTTATATATAAGTTTATCTATCTGTGGAAGGGAAAGGGAATCACAGAAACAGCAGGACAAAGGATGAACTAATGAAACATTGATAGTTTATAATTTACAATGAACTTTACAATTGTGGGGGAGTAGAGGGGGGTAGGAGGAGTAAACCCGAGAAAATGAGGGATGGGGTAACAGTGTTTAATAAGAAATGTACTCATTACCTTACTTATGTAACTGCAATAGTTCAGTGGTATCCAAGACCTGGGGATCTGATCCTTAGCTATCTGTTTGCCTATCTATTGGTCTGTCTGTCTGTCTGTCTGTCTGTCTGTCTGTCTGTCTGTCTGTCTGTCTGTCTGTCTGTCTGTCTGTCTGTCTGTCTGTCTGTCTGTCTGTCTGGAATGGTTATTTGAGATGTGAAAGAAGATCCAAAATTAAACCTGGGAAAGTGTGAGACCCTATATGAAAAATAAGTAAAGAAAAAAGAGCTGGCAGTGTAGCTCAAGTGGTAAAGCACCTGTGGAGAAAGCATGGTACCTAAGTTCCAAAAGAAACATGAACAAAGTATCAATGCCCCATGCCTGTAATCCCAGCTACTCAGGAGGCAGAGATGAACAGGACTGTAAATTGAGGAAAACAAGGCAAAAAGTTGTCAGCACTTCATCTCAGCCAATAGCTGGGGGTAAGGGGGCAACTGTCTGTCATTCAAGCCACACAGGAAGCATAAATAGGAAGAATGCAGTCCAGGCTGGCCCAGGCAAAACTACAAGACCTTATCCCAAAACTAATGAAAGAAAAGGGGCGGAGATATGGCTCAAGTCATAGAGAACTTGTCTAGAAAGCATTAAACTCTGAGTTTAAACCCCAGTACCACCACCAAAAAAAGGAAGGAAGGAAGGAAAGAAGGAATGAAGGAAGGAAGGACGGAAGGAAGGAAGGACGGAAGGAAGGAAGGAAGGAAGGAAGGAAGGAAGGCAGGCAGGCAGGCAGCCAGCCATGGCTTTCTTTCACATTTAAGACTGTAGCAAGGCAAACTATTCACTATTCCTTGATGTTGAGTTGCAGATTGTTCATCCATGTCCAGAACTGTCATGTTCAAGAAAGTGAGTCAGTAAAGAACAGCCTGGATTTGGGAAAAGCCAGCTGGAATTTTGAGTAAAACTTCCTAATTTTGTTCCTTACTCGTGAATATTAGTGAATATCTGACTTCTGCCTATGTTCTTCTGCCATTTTGCTTAAGAAGAAAGAGAATATAATGTCAGGTGACCCTGACTCTAGGCATGACGTCCAATCCTTGTAGTCTCAACTCCTAGACATTTTCCCTGGCGTCTTCTGATTTTCCTATGCTCCTCACCACTCCTTCCTACCTCTGCCCTCTAGCCAGTGGCAGGTCAGCTTTCTGACCTCTGACCTAGGGCACCACAAGCATCCACCATCCTATGTGGGCTGGACCAGATAAACCTTTGCTTTTGTATAGCCACTCTACCAGGCCTGGAAATGTACTACCTTCCTGGAAATAGAAACATAGATGCTAGGCAGAGATGGTGAACTTATCTTGGTAATGAATTGGGTCTAACTACCACTTAGATAGAACTATAGAGAAACCTGTATGGGAATTTTCTAAGGACATTATCTTTTCCTTTAATATTATAAGAAAAATACTATGAATTGCTTTAAACGTGTTCATGAGAACTCAATAGAAGAGGAGAAAGCAGGGGGAAAAAGAAGAATCTTTCCTGGCCCATTATCTCTAACCAAACTTACCCTTAGTTTGCCTTTCTAAGAATAAACAACTATTGAAGTCGACCCACATCAGCCCAAGCAAGCAAAACAGTTCATTTCCACAGTGTCACCATATTAGAGGACAACCTATCAGGCCATTCTTTATGATGGTCAATGACAGGGCCTTATCCTTATGGTAGAAGTCTACTGTTAATCTTATTCACATCAAAATTAAGAACACATTCATATTTTAAAAAGAGCGTTGATCAGGTTAATGACTTTCTATTCTGAGAATAAAAATCTTAAAATAAAAAATTAAAATAACTATTTTAATTGTGTGGTTCTAAAAAAAAACCTGTGATGTTTCTGGATTTACGAGAAAGGAAAAGTAGGAATGATCATGTTGATAATGCTATTTGAGGCACCATCTTACTATGCAGCCCAGGCTGGCCCCAAGAAGATGCTCCATCTTTACTTGCCTGTTCAGTGGAACCCAGAGAAAACCAACACAGATGTTGTTACCCATGGACTGTTTGACATCTATAATCTTTACTGGCTTTACATTATATGCATACAACAATATAACCTGTAACAAAAATAAAAGCATATAAAATGTAATGTCAAAATTACACTTGTCTTCAAAATTCAGCATGATTCCTCTTTGTACAAAAGAACAATTAAGACTTTATTCCCCTAATGCACTTTAAAGGGAAATGATCTGAACAAAAATTGTGCAAAAGTAGATGTGATGGCACAAGCCTGTTACCTCAGCACTTGGGAAGCTGAAACAGGAGGATGGAGAGTTCAAGTTCAAGGCAACTGCAGACTACATAGCGAGACTGTATCTCAATTTAAAAAAAACTTCATATATATTTATGTATATACCAAGTCCAGGCTAAAAACTTGCGATCCTCCTGCCTCTGCCTCCACAGTATGGGCATGTGTTACCTCATCTGGCTCAACAAGTTGCTTTAGAAGACTGACATTTTGTATTGAATTGCACTTAAATATCAGCCTTTGGTAGCCCTTGGTAGCAAGTGCAAGACAACTTGTAAGCATCCAACTTTGTTTTTATCACTTACCTTGTAACTATTCAGAATAGGGCATCTTAAAATGATGACTGATGAATGAAAAACAGTACCGAAGCATATCATGGAAATGTAATACACAAGGAACAGAATAAAGATGCTTGAGTTTCCAGAGTCACAAATAAAGGTTTTGGGTCTCACAGGCAAGATTTAACCAAAGGGAAAGAATCATTCTATCTAAGACATAGATTTCCACTATCTTAACCAATGAACAAAATGCCTATTATATAATATTCACTTAATAAGTGTTTCATTGTATATGATTGAAGTGTGTGTGTGTGTGTGTGTGTGTGTGTGTGTGTGTGTGTGTGTGTGTGTACATGCATGTGCTTACTAGGCAGGTGCTTTCTAGGCAGGTGTTGTACTACTTGAACCACACTTACAGCCTTGGATGTGTGTGAAATGAACATTATATACTTTTCTTCTTTATTTTTTTGAAGTATTTCTATTTTCCAGTGATGACTGTTCCCATCTCCAAACTCTCTCTGAATGCATGTACTACTTTAGCATTTGTTCCTTTCTTGCTAGCAAGACATAGGATGAAAATCAATCTATCTATTGTTTTTAACATATATTTTATAATATATATATACTAACGTGGCCATAACATGTTTTTACCTACTGTATGTATTGCATATATTTTTCTTGTGTTTCTTTTTAAAATGCAACTCATGTTCTACTTTATTTATTCCTGACCAATTAATATTTCAGAAAATATGATAAATTTGGAAACTACTATAGTCATCTCCCCTGTAAAATATCACAGATTTGTTATTTTAGAAGTTATATGGAATATCTAGCAAGGATTGCCAAGGATTAAATTGTGTGGGAAAGACTAAAATATCAGATGTATCCACAGATTCAACAACTACTTATAGAAAATATTGGAAAAAATTCATCTATACTGAACACAAAGACTGTTTTCTTGTTACTATTCCCTATACAAGAACTATATGCAGAATTTACATTTATTTGTATTGTCAGTAAACTAGAATTATACTGAAAGAATACAGGTGCATTGTGATCTCTAGAACTGTATCTTCTAAGATACACAGGAGCATGTGTGTATATGCACACATGTGCATGTGTAGGTTATATGCACATATGTCATTTTATATAAGACATAAGCATTCATGGCTATGGTTATCTCTGGGAGGTCCTAGAGCCAGCCCTCTGCATATACCAAGGATGACTATACTTTGTAAGACAGGAAATGCTTCAAATAGTCCTGAGAATAATATGGTAAAGCTTCTCATTATCTGATTAGGAAGACATGTATAATCAGTCCAGAATCAGTAACAGGTTTCCAGTCTAAGGAAGTAAGATGAAGAGTCCAGTGTGAGAAGCAAGCATTGGAGGAGAAAGGGACATGGCCCGGGAGGTTCCAGGACGTGACAGGGTCACATGAGCTACAGACAGTCCCAGTGACACAGTTAGATGGGTCAATGTCCAGGCAGGGAGAGTGTGAGCATAGACCAATACCGAAGATGAAAAGCAAATTAAAATGCTGGGCAGAAGAAAATGGTGAGGCAGGTATCTTATGGGGAAAGGCTTTTGGCATTTCTTTGAGAAAGCATCAATGAAAGGAATTCCTTTTTTTCTTTTTTTAAATTTTAATTTTATCCTCAAGCTGATGTGCAGAGGGGTTACAGTTACATAAGTAAGATAGTGATTACATTTTTTGTCTAATTTGTTATCCCCTTCCTCATTTATCTTCCTCTTTCCTCTTTCCCTCCCCAAAGTTGTACAGATCATTTCCACTGTCTTGTATCAGCATCGCATAGGTTGCATAGGTTCCCCCATTGTCCTTTGTCTCATCATTTTGTTGTTCCCCTTCCTTTCCCTAGTTCAGATAAACGTATATAAAATACCCAGGGCACCAAAATTGATTACAGTGACAATGAGGGAGAAACCATAGGGGAAAAAACACAAAAGAAAAAAGAAATCACATAATACATTGAGAACAATAACCAAGAAAGATCTCTTATGTCAATATCTTGAAGTTCATTTCACTTAGCATCATCTTGTATGGTCATATGTACATAGCTATTGAGATATTCTGCTCATCTGCTAAGAATATCCTAGATGTATACTGATTATTACAAACAATGAAAACCACAGGACCTATGTTTCCTTGGGTCTGACTTATTTCACTCAATATGGAAAGCAGTATGGGGGTGCCTCAAAAGACTACACATAGAGCTCCCCTATGACCCAAAAGTCCCATTTCTGGGCATTTGCCCAAATGACCACAAACAAGGTCACCCTAAAGCTACCAGCACAACTATGTATATCGCAGCATTATTTACCATAGCTAAGATATGGAACCAATCCAGATGCCAGATGAATGGATCAAGAAAATGTACACACACACACACACACACACACACACACACACACACACACACACACACACACACACACTGGAATTCTATGCTTCCATCAGAAAGAATGACACTGTCCCATTTGTAAGGAAATGGAAGGACTGAGGAAAAAATCATACTAAGTGAAGTAAGCCAAAGGAATTCTGGGGTGGAAGTTTCCCTACAAAAGGCTATACTGACCAACTCTCCACTTCAAAAATTTAACCAATTTCTAGCACTATCCTAGTACTAGAGCCACTCTTCAATCTTCATTGGTTAAGGGACTGACAACCACTTCCTTTTAAGTTATAGTGACATAAGCTTTACACCCAAAAGGAAGATTTAACTCTATCATTATATTATGTACCATAGGTTCTATTTGGAAGATATCCCCCGGAGCTCTGTCCAGAGGAGGAAGGTACCACTGAAAGCAAAGTTCTTTGTTTAGGGCTTGTGTTGCCATTTCTAATGAAAAAACATCCGTATAAGATGAATTGGAAGTGAGATTTAAAGACAAAATAGACTGTATGGAACTTTCATGAAACACCTAGAAAACAAAAAAAAAAAACTCATGTCAGTTTAATTGCTAATAAGAAACTTATTTAATATTTAAAGCAGATTAAATGGATCTATTAGGAATGCTGGGACTTAGCTTACTTCATGAAGGTAATCTTAACTATTCTTAAATAATTATATAGTAAATTCCCTACCATAAAAACATGCTTTAGAAGCAGTGGAAACAAGATGCCCCTGGAACCATTTCAGTTCAAGGTATACTACTGCTTCTACAAAGTATCTTCTATATTTTTGTTATTCATTGAAAAATAGATAGGGGGATCTCTTTACAATTTATTGTAAAATTTTCAATTTCAGTACCATATGTAAACCAATGTTTGCTCTCATTTTCTCATTATGTGAATGTAGTTGTTTTGCAAGTTGTGAAATCTGTGCCCAGCTACTTTTATAGAGCTTGGCAACTGTGCCAGAAGTCTTCAAATTGCTTAAAATGCAATTATTCAACTGCACAAATTATTTAGTTAGTTGCCAAAAGTAGCAAAGGTGGTTACTATTTAATAACAAAGTAACAAGCTAGACAGAGAGGCAACAGTGGTAATATTATGTCAAGTTGAAGAGGGACTGTCAATGGGACACAAACTATTTTCATAATTAGCTTCCTCTTATTCCCAAGATCACAGCACAATAGCTGGGAAGCAGTTTCTCTTATACATTTTGACATGTCAGGCTGCTCAAGGTCTGTTGACCAAGGGGAATGCACCAAGAAGAAATGCTTGGTGTTTCTATAAGGCTTTGTCCCTTCCCATTATCTTGGAGCTTATTCAAGATATGTCTGTGAATACAAGTCTTCAAAATAAAATAGAAAGAGAAAGACACTGACCTTTCAAGTTGTCTACCAATAGAGGAAAAAAGATATTTTGACTGAAAGATAATATTAAATATGAAAACTTGCCACAACTGTCTAAAGACATATTTAAAAGCCAGAATCCTCATTTACCATCAGCACTGTAATACTTGAAGCATGACCAAAACGCAAAATAAACAAGATTATTGGAATTAAATTATCCCTTTTAATTAAGAGTAATTCTATATCAAGCAGTTTGCAAAAGAGATTAACTAAACAATTGATTTAAAAGATTTCTCATATTTTCATATCAGCATAACTTTAAGAGTCTGAAAACTACCTTAGCAGAATAGTTACTAAATTTAATGTCAGCTAGTGTAGAAAAAAGCAGGCACCTTTTGTTCTAATATATGCTGTATCTAGTAGCACAGTGGTCTAATACTGCTAAATAACCCAAATCAATATTAAAAACAGGCATTTATTTTTCCCTTGTTTTTACAATATTATTCTATCTAGTTACTAGTGAGATTAATTTCATTTGCTAATTGGTGATACACCAAGTACTTTTATATGTGTTATTTATCCTTTGGAAGGAATAAGCACAGACCCATCACATGATTCCTAGTTTTCCACAGTCCTATAAACAATGAATCACTTCTTCAACTAGTGAGATATATGAACCTGCAGATTGTGGCAGCACGCAGTCTGTAAGCATGAGTAACTCAACACCGTGTACAGCTTTAATCATCTATTTTTGGAATCTTTAATGCAATATTTGGTACCTTTGTGTTTCCACCACAAAGCACCAACAGACTTTATATGCAGGCTCACACAACTGATGAACACAACAGAGAACACTGATTGTTCTGGAAAAGGTGTCTACTTCTTTGTGTGTATGTGTGTGGGGAAGCCTTTTGAAGTATCAATTTATGGAAAGAGTTTGATTGAAATAACCTCCTGAGTGATTAAAGGCTCAAAAATGTTATTATACAAATCAGCCAAGCTTGGAGTTTATATAAAAAAATCCAAAAGGCTTTATGCTTGTTAGCTGTCTCTCCCAGTGAAATGAACACATGATTAGGTAGCTTGCACCTGTCAGGCGAGTGACAGTAATCTCCAGGGCTGATTATCCTGAGAAAGTGTTACACTAATTATATAAAAAAAGAGCAAACAGGGTGAAACAACTTTTTGATAACACTACTGCCATTAGAAATGCCATATGTATTTACAATGCATTCAAGGCTGTATTTCTGGAATACCATCCTGGGGGAGTGAGTAGTGACAGGCTGCCCCTCATACCAAAATATGCTACCAGAGCTCCTTGCAGGACAGTATTTAGGACCTGCATTTTAGTTTCTGTCTCATTCAATATGTACAGGAAAATATCTACAGGAATTACTATTCTTAGCTTTTCTGTTCCCTGTCCCCTACTTCCAAAAGACAAAATGCCTGGGATACAGGATAATACTCCTCAGAATAAATTTCAGTTCTAACAGACAGATTAATCAGCAGCCAGTGCTAGATGGCAACAATATCATACTTCATCTACTATTTCCTTCCACCTAGGAGGAAATGGGATACTAACAGTAGGTATGGATTGAAACATTCTATATTTTTGTTAATAGGGTGATATTAAAATGAAAAATGGCTGTCTGAAATATGCTGTTCTGAACAGCAATGCAGAAAATTCAGAGACATTTTGGAGATTTATGAAAACAGCCAGAACAAATATTTGAAATGTGAAGGTGAAAAGCCAGGCTGTTTGGTTAACCTACCTATGTGGTAACACAGAAAGCTTTCCAAGAATCCTGAGGGAACTAGAAATCTTTGTGCTGTGTAGAGGTTAATGTGCTCCCTTCAGAAACACATGGGCAAGGCCTGGGAGCCATGGTTCATACCTATAACACCAGTTCCTGAGAGTAGTAGAGTGGAAGAATTGCTATTCAAGGCCAAGCTGGGCAAAAAGTTCATGAGACCTATTAATAAAAGGTGGGTGTGGTGGTATGCACCTGTTATCCCAGCTATACAGGAAGTGTAAAACAGAATGATTGTAGTCAAGGACTACCTGATGTAAATGGGAGCTTTTATAAAAAACAAACAAAACACTACAAAGCAAAAAGGCCGGGCGTATGGCTTAAGTTGCAGAGTGGCTGGCTGCCTAGCAAGCTTGAGGCTCTGAGTTAAATCCCAGGAAGGAAGGAAAGGAAAGAGGGAGAAAGGGCTAGAAAAGGTGATTTTATCAAGTTTTTCATAGATACATAACATTTTAAAACACCTTGGTCATGTCCAGTGTCTCATGCCAGTAATCCCAGCTACTCAGGAGGCCAAGAACTAGAGGCTAACATTTGAAGCCAGCCAAGGAAGAAAACTCTTCAAGACTCCATCTCTAATTAACTGGCAAAATACTAGGCTAGAGGCATGGCTCAATTGGTAGAGCACAATTCATAAGCAAAGAAGCTGAGTGGAATGCAAGGTAGCCATAGTACCAGCACACACCCACACCGCTCCCCCCTACATACACACACCAAATGAAATAAAACCTTACCTTGACTGAAGAATCACTTAAGTCTTTTTCTGAAAACTGTATATCATTAAATCCTTGAAGAAGTTCTTTTGGAAATTCATCAATACAAGAAGAAGAATAAAAATTTAAGACTTTTTTAAGATAAAAATGCATTTCTTTTTGGCGTAAAATCAGTCTAGAGTTGTAAAGGGAGGTGAGAAGTGTATCATCTGGCAGAGAAATTCCAGATTCTGGAGTTGTAGATGCTTTAGGAAGAAAAATACTTTTATTTAGGCTAGTATTAGGAATGAGAATGGTCTCAATGTTGTTGCATTTGCTCACTAACACCATTCTACACTGGCTAGTGGCTGCTAATCACTTCCCTCCCCAAACTCTATCCCAATGTTGCTCCTTGTTATAGGAAGGAAAGAAAACTTCAAAGGCATGTGAAGATATGTATTTACAATGGCACTGTGTATTCTGTCTACCATTTTATTTTGGACTCTTCTCAAATTGTTGCTTTACCTTAAAGGGATAATTTGGGTATATGTTATTTAGAGAGAATGGGAAGACCAGGACTGAGAAAAGGAAAAGAGCCAAGGAGTGAGGATAAATGAGCGGGCTCTGGAAATTAGCAATGCTCTGCTGGAGTTCTCTTGTAAAACCATAGAAAACAGAGCCAGAGACATGGAAAAGTTGGTGGTTAATATATCATCTCCCAGGCTTCCTTCTTCAGTGAGGTGAACACATGGGTTTTGTCTACCAATTCCAGCTGCAGATAGCCCAGGCATGAAAGGCTGCAGAAAGGCACAAGAAGTACCAGCCAGTGAATGCAGATGAGAGCTGGGTTGCTTTGGAGATTTGCATTACCAAGATGGTGGCTCCCATCCACATCTTTATCCTCTGAATTTCCTTTATTCTACCCCCAATCACAATAAACCTTTAATTTTGATGCCTTTCGGAGTGCTTGCTCGTCTCACTGCTAATTCCTGAGGATTGTACTCAGCCACTATGTCAACCCATTCACTTGGGTAGATTCCCCACTACTTTTGCCAGGCATTGCCTGGTCTTTCTATTTGTACTAGTGACCAGCACTGGGTCACCAAGTCCAAGAATGCAGGTAAGATATAATACATCTTGTCACAAAATTTCCAGGGTTTTTTTTAGATATTCTTTAACTGTATTTTTTTTGTCTTTTTTTTTTGGTACTGGGGATCAAATCCAGGACATTGTACTTGCTAAGCACATTGCCACTGAGCGACAGCCCAGTCCTAGATATTCTTTAGATAGAGATGAAAATAAAATTCTATACAGTTAAATATCCCTTATGAAGGAATGCCCTCTTTTCCACATGACAGATACTGGAGCCATCTTTCCTCAAAGCCCAATCAATTTCATCCTTCTCATGTTATAAAATTCCATCCTTTTATGTTATAAAACATAACAACACACTGTAATTATTGGTTCTTAACTGTTTTGAGCCATGAACCCCATAGGTAATCCTAGGGCTAGATGTCTCTATGTCATCATGTTTTTAAATCTACAAAATAAAGTATGTAAAATTTTGAAGGAAACCAATTATCTTGAAACAGTATTTTTTCAAAGGTTCATGGAACCTATGTTAAGAATCCCTGAGGTTCTGGGAAGATGGTGGAGGAGAAGCTGGAGGCTAAACAAGCTCTAGCATAGAAAGCAGTTTTAGTGTTCCAGTGAACAGTCTTAGGGCAGAGAATTACACCAAGTGTGCTATCACAGTACAGAGAATTTGGCCAGAGAGGGAGAATCCAGGCATGGAGACAGATCTGAGTACTTTCTGGTAGCCACGGCAGCAGTGGCGTTGGCGGTGGCCATAGCCGCCATACCTACAACATGGAGAGTCCGGGACAAAGGCACCAGATGCAGCAGGCAAGCGGATTCTACTCAACACCAGCAAGAATTGGCAAGGAGCAGATATCTTCATCCTGCAGATCACAGACCAGAGACGACCCAGGAACCAAGACTCCAGCATGAGCAGAACCCTGACATCCTCACTCCTTCTCAGGGAGCAGAGGAGGGAAGGCCACTCCTCCTCCCCACCACCACTGGAGATCTCCATCTTTGATACTGACAAAGGCCTGGCTGAGCAGCTAGCTCCAACTCAGGCCTTGGAAGAAAACAAAAGAGTCATTTAGCAGGTCACAGAAACCTTACCTGACCTGCTAGGCTCAGCTCCACCCAGGGGAAAGTCACCCAGCCCAGGCAGAGACAGCTCTGCCCCCGGAGGAGTGACTTTCTTCACTGGGTAAACAGAGCCAGAGGCTGCCCCTCCCTACAGCAGCCTAATCAATTGAAATTCAGCAAACATAAAACCTGAGAATGGCTCCAGGCTGGGCTCTGTGAGTGTATCAGAAGCTAATCCCTCAGGAAAAAGCTACTGTTTGCTGAAAGGCCTCAACTCTACCCAGAACCTAGCCTCATCACAGCATCTCCAAACTAGAGGAAACAGCCATCTCCCTCTTTTGTGATACTCAAAGCAGTTCTGCCTCCCACTGAACTAACCTGGGAGGAAGATCACAAAATCCTTGGTAAAACAGGACATTTTTTGCCTGTTCAAACAAACTGACTTAAGAAACCGATCAAGCCACAAGAAAACCAAACACCACAAGCAGACCAGAGACTCCACCAAGAAACTGATTAGGGACACAAGGGAGATAAGGATCTTCCCATCCACATAACCCCCCCCCCAAAAAAAAATCAAAGAACTTTCTTTTTGTACCTTTTTAAAAAAATTGTGTTTTTTTTAAAATTGTTTTCTATTAACCTTTTTTCCTCATAATTTTTATTTTAGGTGTGTATGTGTGTGAGTGTGCTTTTTTCTAATCTCTACTGACCTTTTGGTCCTTTTTTTCTTTCTCATTCTTTTCATTTTTTCTTCTCTTTTGTTCTTTTTTGTGTGTCTCAATTGCGGTTCTGCTCATCCTCAGATATGCCCATCATCGATTATTAGACCTTATCCCCCATTGTGTAACACTTAATCCAGAAATTTATTACTCAATTCAAAACTTCTTAGGCTTAAATTCCTTAATATCAGTAATATCTCTTTATACCTATATAACTTTTTAAGAATTTTTATTTTTTAATTTTTCATATATTCTTTCTATGCCTCCCCTCCTCATCCTATCCCTTTCTTCTTCAATTTCACCTTTAAAATTACATAATTTTTAAGTTTCACTTTTTAAATTTAAATTTTTGTTTTTCCATTTTTCCTTGTCTCTTTTTTTTTCTCTCTCTCCTATCAGTCTATCCAATCCATTTACCTCTTTGATATTAGGACTTGGTTAATTTCACTCTCCTATTACCTTTCCACATCCCTCGAATCCTATTTTTCCCCACATCTCTCCCTAAACCTAATAATTTCTGGTTTGCCAAATTCTTCTTTGCTGTTCTTAGCCCATTAATACATAGTTGTTTGATGTTGAATAGATTGTATCTGTTGAATTAGATTGTATCTGCTGCCTTTTGACTGTGCAACTACAGGACTTTCGTTGATGCTTGCCTTAAAATAGTGTTCTAGCACAAAATTGGTGTTAATTTCATGCCATAAGGGCAGAACAAGCCGTAAAAACACAAGAAAAATGGCAAGTCCGGGTATCTCAACTCCCATTCATGATAATCAGGTGACAGAACAGATAATGAATACTCCAGAGGAGAGTACCCAAAAAGCTCTACAAACACTACTGGTAAACATGGTGAATGAAAATATTGAAAACTTGCAAACGACTCAGTGTGAGCATGATAGGGAGAGAGAGGAGGCAAACCAAAGATCAATACAGGAATCTCATGAGCGAGAGGAAGCTATTCAAAGATTTATACAGGAATTGTGTGAGCAGGCTGAGAACAGTCAGAGAGAACTACAGGAATTGCATGAACGTGAGGAAGCTAATTGAAGAGTGATACAGAAATTGTGAGAGTGGGATGAGAATAGACAAAGATTAATAGAGACATTCATAGAATCCATAAACAGACAGCTGAAAGAATTCAGGGAGACCACAAAAGGAATGCTGAATGGAGCCCGACAGAAGGAATCGGAGTCCAAGGAAACCATAACCAATCAACTAAGTGATTTGAGAATAAACACTGAGCACCAAATTAAGGAAGTAAAGAAGTTCATATAAGATCTAAAACAAAGCTCCAACAAAGAATTTAAAGCCATCAAAGCCAATTAATTAGAAGGAAAAGAAATAAAATACAAAGTAGAAAGTGGGGACAGTAGGTTAGACCATGCAGAAGATCGAATCTTGGGGATTGAAGACAGTCTAGATATTATAGAGAAAGAACATACAACTATCCAAGACAAATCCAAGAAATATGATAGATTTATTCAACATTTTGAAGACAACATCAGAAGGCCTAATCTGAGGATAATGGGTGCATAGGAACACTTAGAGACAGAAGTTAATGGTCTAGGAAATTTGTTTAACAGGATCCTAGCAGAGAACTTCCCAAACATGCAAAAAGATAGGCCAATTTAGATCCATGAAGCTTTTAGAACCCCAAATAGACCAAACCAGAACAAGACATCCCACTGTCACATTGTAATCCGCACAGGATCAATTCAGATCAAGGAAAAGATCCTTAAAGCTGTCAAGGAGAAAAGATCAATCACCTATAAAGGGAAAACAATTATAATCTCCTGATTTCTCAGCAGAGACAATTAAAGCAAGAAGAGCCTGTAATGATGTATGCCATGCCCTAAATACAAACAACTATCAACCAAGAATACTGTACCCAGCTAAACTCTCCTTCATAACTGAAGGTCAAATAAAAACCTTCCATAGCTAAGAAAAACTGAAACAATATATCTCCATGAAACCAGCCCTACAAAAGAAACTTAAAGATGTCCTAATATAGAAAACCAACAAGGCCACAATAAAGGCCAAGAAACCACACCCAAACAGAATTCAAGAACCATAGGAAGAACCCAGTTGCCACAGCCCCCAAGAAGGTGGATAAAATGGCAGGAACTCCCAAATAGCTCTCAATCCTATCTCTCAACATTAACAGACTTAACTCTCCAATTAACTGACAGACTGTCTAGTTGGATTAAAAGCAAGATCCTTCTATCTGTTGCCTTCAGGAGTCACACCTTGCCCATAAAAACTAACATATTTTGAAAGTGAAAGGCTGGAACAAAATCTACCAAGCAAATGGCCCTCATAAACAGGCAGGAGTGCAATCCTAATATCAGATAAAATAGACTTCAAATTAAAATTAGTGAGAAGAGACAAAGAAGGTCACTACATACTACTTAAGGGATGTCTCCTTCAGGAGGATATTACAATTCTAAATATTCGCTGAACAACAGAGCACCCAAATTTATCCCAGAAACACTACTTTCCTTCAAATCTCACATAGATCCAAAGACATTAATTGTTGGGGACCTTAACACATCACTAACCTCACTAGATAGAACAACTCGGCAAAAATTCAACAGAGAAATCGCAGATCTAAACAACCGCATAGATCAAATAGACTTAACAGACATCTACCGAATATTTCACCCAGCACTATCAGAATACACATTTTTCTCAGCAGCACATGAAACATTTTCCAAAATAGACCACATTTTAGGTCACAAAGCAAACTTATCCAAATTCAGAAACATTGAAGTTATACCTTACATTCTCTCAGACCACAAGGGAATAAAATTAGAACTCAAGACCAAAAGCCACCAAAGAAAGTCCTGTAACACATGGAGGCTGAATAACACACTGTTGACTCACGGGTGGGTCATGGAAGAGATTAGAAATGAAAATCAAATGTTCGTGATATTCAACAAAAATGAGCAAACAAATTACCAGCTCCTCTGGGACACAGCAAAGGCAGTACTCAGAGGCAATTTTATAGCTCTGAGTCCCTACATCAACAAATTGGAGAGATCTGAAACCAACAATTTAATGAGACATCTGAGCCTCTTTGAAAAAGAGCAGCAAGAAAAACCCCAATCCAGTAGATTGAAGGAAATAATTAAAATTAAATCAGAATTAAATGAATTAGAATCCAAAAAAAACATAGAAAGAATCAACAAAACAAAGAGTTGGTTCTTCAAAAAAATTAACAAAATTGACAGACACTTAGCAAATCTTATCAGAAAAAGAAGAGAACACACCCAAATAAACTCAGAGATGAGAATGGAAACATCACCACAGAAACAACCAAGATTCAGAACATTATATGGGAATACTTCTCAAACCTTGAGAACTTGGCAGAAATGGACCTTTTCCTAGCAAATATCGACATGCTGAAATTAAACCAAGATGAGTTAAACATTCTTAACAGGCCCATATCAAGCATTGAAATAGAAACAGCAATAAGAGATTTCCCATCTAAGAAAAGCCCAGGACCAAATGGTTTTACAGCAGAATTCTACAAGGCCTTCAAAGCAGAACTCACACTAATACTCGTCTTCAACTCTTCAATGAAATTGAAAGAGAAAGTTCACTACCGAATTCATTCTATGAAGCCATCATAACACTCATCCCAAAACCAGGCAGGGACTCATCAAAGAAAGAGAACTATAGACCCATTTCTTTGATGAACATTGATGGAAAACTTCTCAACAAAATTTTGGCAAATTGACTTCAACAATTCAGCCAAAAAATCATACACCACGATCAAACAGGATTCATTTCAGGGATGCAAAGCTGGTTCAATATATGCAAATCAATTAATATAATTCATCTCATCAACAAGAGCAAGGATAAGAACCACATGGTTACCTCAACAGATGCATAAAAAGCATTGACAAGATCTAGCACCCCTTTATGATGAAGGTCCAGGAAAAATTAGGAATCCATGGAACATTCCTCAATACAATAAAGGCTGTATATGACAAACCTACAGCCAGCATTATACTTAATGGTGAAAAACTAAAGCCATTTCTTCTTAATTCAGGAACAAGACAAGGCTGTCCACTCTCTCCACTTCTCTTCAATCTAGTATTAGAATGCCTAGCTACAGCAGTAAGACAAGATGCAAATATAAAAGGGATCCAAATAGGGAAAGATGAAGTAAAAATCTCCCTCTTTGCAGATGACATGATCTTGTATTTGAAGAATCCCACGGACTCCACTCCCAAATTACTCAAGCTGATTCAAAACTTTGGCAAAGTAGCAGGGTATAAAATTAACCCTCAAAAATCAATGGCTTTTCTGTATGCCAACAATGAGAAAAGTGTGGCTGAAATCAGGAAAGCAACTCCATTTGTAATAGCCCCACAAAAAATAAAATACCTAGGAATTAACTTAACCAAAGAAATGAAGGA